TATATATATATATATATATATATATATATATATATATATATATATATATATATATATATATATATATATATATATATATATATATATATATATATATATATATATATATATATATATATTATATTATATATATATATATATTGCATATATATATATATATATATATATTATATTATATTATATATATATATATATTATATATATAGCCGATATATATATATATATATATATATATATATATATATATATATATATATATATATATATATATATATATATATATATATATATATATATATATATATATATATATATATATATATATATATATATATATATATATATATATATATATATATATATATATATATATTATATATATATATATATATATATATATATATATATATATATATATATATATATATATATATATATATATATATATATATATTATATATATATATATATATATATATATATATATATATATATATATATATATTCATATATATATATATATATATATATATATATATATATATATATATATATATATATATATATATATATATATATATATATATATATATATATATATATATATATATATATATATTAAATATGACCGAAAAAGTAAGATTAATAATTCTAACACGAATTTTCTCAATCTTTCGTACATTACGCTTCACTGTTGGAGGTAAATCAAAAATCACTTCTCCAAAATTCATTTTTATTTCTAGTCTGACGCGACACGGGCGCGTTTCGTAAAACTTATTACATTTTCAAAGACTTCACAAATACACAACTGATTAGAACTTACGTATCTCTGCTATTATATCTACATTTGAGTGAGGTGGGAGGGATGATGTGGCATATAGTGATGTGGCATTAACACAAGACAGAACATGAGGGGATATTAATAGGGTATTAAAAGTATCAACACAAGACAGAACAGAAACAATGGGTATTGAATAGAAGTGTTTGTAGAAAGCCTATTGGTCCATATTTCTTGATGCTTCTATATTGGAGCGGAGTCTTGAGGTGGGTAGAATATAGTTGTGCAATAATTGGCTGTTGATTGCTGGTGTTGACTTCTTGATGTGTAGTGCCTCGCAAACGTCAAGCCGCCTGCTATCGCTGTATCTATCGATGATTTCTGTGTTGTTTACTAGGATTTCTCTGGCGATGGTTTGGTTATGGGAAGAGATTATATGTTCCTTAATGGAGCCCTGTTGCTTATGCATCGTTAAACGCCTAGAAAGAGATGTTGTTGTCTTGCCTATATACTGGGTTTTTTGGAGCTTACAGTCCCCAAGTGGGCATTTGAAGGCATAGACGACGTTAGTCTCTTTTAAAGCGTTCTGTTTTGTGTCTGGAGAGTTTCTCATGAGTAGGCTGGCCGTTTTTCTGGTTTTATAGTAAATCGTCAGTTGTATCCTCTGATTTTTGTCTGTAGGGATAACGTTTCTATTAACAATATCTTTCAGGACCCTTTCCTCCGTTTTATGAGCTGTGGAAAAGAAGTTCCTGTAAAATAGTCTAATAGGGGGTATAGGTGTTGTGTTAGTTGTCTCTTCAGAGGTTGCATGGCTTTTCACTTTCCTTCTTATGATGTCTTCGATGAAACCATTGGAGAAGCCGTTATTGACTAGAACCTGCCTTACCCTACAGAGTTCTTCGTCGACTTGCTTCCATTCTGAGCTGTGGCTGAGAGCACGGTCGACGTATGCGTTAACAACACTCCTCTTGTACCTGTCAGGGCAGTCGCTGTTGGCATTTAGGCACATTCCTATGTTTGTTTCCTTAGTGTAGACTGCAGTGTGGAAACCTCCGCCCTTTTCCATGACTGTTACATCTAGAAAAGGCAGCTTCCCATCCTTTTCCGTCTCGTAAGTGAAACGCAGCACGGAACTCTGCTCAAATGCCTCCTTCAGCTCCTGCAGATGTCTGACATCAGGTACCTGTGTAAAAATGTCGTCAACATACCTGCAGTATATGGCCGGTTTCAAGTTCATGTCGACTAAGACTTTTTGCTCGATGGTACCCATGTAGAAGTTTGCAAACAGGACACCTAGGGGAGAACCCATGGCGACCCCATCTACTTGCTTATACATGTGCCCATCCGGGCTCAAGAAGGGTGCCTCTTTAGTACAAGCTTGGAGTAGTTTCCTCAGAATACTTTCTGGCATGTCAAGAGGAGTACAGGCTGGATCACGATACACTCTGTCGGCTATCATTCCGATTGTCTCGTCCACAGGTACGTTGGTAAACAGCGATTCTACGTCCAACGAGGCTCTTATCCCTGTGGCCCGTGTGCCCCGCAGTAAGTCCACAAATTCCTTTGGAGACTTCAGGCTGAAGGCGCAAGGAACATAAGGAGTCAGCAGGCCGTTGAGTCGCTTCGCCAGTCTGTACGTGGGTGTGGGTATCTGGCTAATGATTGGCCGAAGTGGGTTTCCAGGCTTGTGCGTCTTGACATTTCCATACGCATATCCAGGTTTATATTCCCCAATGATCTTTGGCAGGTGGAGTCCGGATTTCTTGGCGTTCACAGTTTCGATCAGTTTGTTGACCTTTGCTTTTAATTCGGCTGTAGTGTCCTTCGTTACCCTTTGGAACTTAGTTTGGTCAGAGAGTATGATGTTCATTTTCGCCAGATATTCGTCTTTTTTAAGAATGACATATATTGGCGACTTGTCACCTCTCCTGACAACTATCTCCTTGTTCTCACGAAGGCTTTTAGCTGCCGCTTTAAGCTCGGGGGACAGTATGGTGCTTCTGTAGTTGCCTCGATTCTTTCCTCCTTCTGCAATAAGTTCTGCTTGTAAGGTATCTTTGGTAGTGACCTTCTTTTGTGTCTCGAGGTCAAATATGTCGTCCAACAGAATTTCAACTCTACTTTCCGGGCCACACTCGGTCTGGACATAACATGACAAATGTCAAAATGGAAATGTCAAAACGCACAAGCCTGGAAACCCACTTCGGCCAATCATTAGCCAGATACCCACACCCACGTACAGACTGGCGAAGCGACTCAACGGCCTGCTGACTCCTTATGTTCCTTGCGCCTTCAGCCTGAAGTCTCCAAAGGAATTTGTGGACTTACTGCGGGGCACACGGGCCACAGGGATAAGAGCCTCGTTGGACGTAGAATCGCTGTTTACCAACGTACCTGTGGACGAGACAATCGGAATGATAGCCGACAGAGTGTATCGTGATCCAGCCTGTACTCCTCTTGACATGCCAGAAAGTATTCTGAGGAAACTACTCCAAGCTTGTACTAAAGAGGCACCCTTCTTGAGCCCGGATGGGCACATGTATAAGCAAGTAGATGGGGTCGCCATGGGTTCTCCCCTAGGTGTCCTGTTTGCAAACTTCTACATGGGTACCATCGAGCAAAAAGTCTTAGTCGACATGAACTTGAAACCGGCCATATACTGCAGGTATGTTGACGACATTTTTACACAGGTACCTGATGTCAGACATCTGCAGGAGCTGAAGGAGGCATTTGAGCAGAGTTCCGTGCTGCGTTTCACTTACGAGACGGAAAAGGATGGGAAGCTGCCTTTTCTAGATGTAACAGTCATGGAAAAGGGCGGAGGTTTCCACACTGCAGTCTACACTAAGGAAACAAACATAGGAATGTGCCTAAATGCCAACAGCGACTGCCCTGACAGGTACAAGAGGAGTGTTGTTAACGCATACGTCGACCGTGCTCTCAGCCACAGCTCAGAATGGAAGCAAGTCGACGAAGAACTCTGTAGGGTAAGGCAGGTTCTAGTCAATAACGGCTTCTCCAATGGTTTCATCGAAGACATCATAAGAAGGAAAGTGAAAAGCCATGCAACCTCTGAAGAGACAACTAACACAACACCTATACCCCCTATTAGACTATTTTACAGGAACTTCTTTTCCACAGCTCATAAAACGGAGGAAAGGGTCCTGAAAGATATTGTTAATAGGAACGTTATCCCTACAGACAAAAATCAGAGGATACAACTGACGATTTACTATAAAACCAGAAAAACGGCCAGCCTACTCATGAGAAACTCTCCAGACACAAAACAGAACGCTTTAAAAGAGACTAACGTCGTCTATGCCTTCAAATGCCCACTTGGGGACTGTAAGCTCCAAAAAACCCAGTATATAGGCAAGACAACAACATCTCTTTCTAGGCGTTTAACGATGCATAAGCAACAGGGCTCCATTAAGGAACATATAATCTCTTCCCATAACCAAACCATCGCCAGAGAAATCCTAGTAAACAACACAGAAATCATCGATAGATACAGCGATAGCAGGCGGCTTGACGTTTGCGAGGCACTACACATCAAGAAGTCAACACCAGCAATCAACAGCCAATTATTGCACAACTATATTCTACCCACCTCAAGACTCCGCTCCAATATAGAAGCATCAAGAAATATGGACCAATAGGCTTTCTACAAACACTTCTATTCAATACCCATTGTTTCGTGTTCTGTCTTGTGTTGATACTTTTAATACCCTATTAATATCCCCTCATGTTCTGTCTTGTGTTAATGCCACATCCACATCATCCCTCCCACCTCACTCAAATGTAGATATAATAGCAGAGATACGTAAGTTCTAATCAGTTGTGTATTTGTGAAGTCTTTGAAAATGTAATAAGTTTTACGAAACGCGCCCGTGTCGCGTCAGACTAGAAATAAAAATGAATTTTGGAGAAGTGATTTTTGATTTACCTCCAACAGTGAAGCGTAATGTACGAAAGATTGAGAAAATTCGTGTTAGAATTATTAATCTTACTTTTTCGGTCATATTTAATAATATATGTCTACAGGAAAGACTGCTACCAAAATATACTAATATATTATATATATATATATATATGTATATTATATATATATAGATATATATACATATATACATATATACATATAATTTATATTATAACATTTTAAAGAATTACATTTTTATAGCATAAAATTAATTTTTTTTTTTTTACATTTTTTCAGCCGTCAATTGTATCCTGGACCAGACTTTACTCAAAGTGATAGGAACTGCCTTCCCAATCCAAGACCATTAAAAGTCTTGGAAAAATGTTACAGCAATCAGTACCAAGCTTACTCAAAAAAATCTTGTGCAGCTAGTCACAGAGGCAGAAGATGAATCTTTCGCCAAAAGATAAGGCATGCCGCTCCAGAAGAAGAAATAGTAACAAAATACGGTGGTATCTGTGTGTGTGTGTGTGTGTATATATATATATATATATATATATATATATATATATATATATATATATATATATATATATATATATATATATATATATATATATATATATAAATATATATATATATATATTATATATATACACACACATACATACTCGGAATATATATATATGACCACTATTTCTTCAAGAGTCAAGGGGTAATTAAGCAATCATGTTATTTTTGCCAGACTCGGCAGCGGGGTACAGTGGTGTAAGACCTTAGCACCACAAGAGGGTAAATGCAGTTTTTGAGGAAGTTGCTGAGGCACTTCTGATGGGAGATCACAAGTTTGTCAACTGCCCGTCTGGACTGATCCTAGACATAATTTAACCACTCATTTTTAAGCATCCCTTTGTGCCATGAAGGACAGTGAAATCAGACCTATTGCTGTAGGTAACGCATTTTACCACCTTGTTGCCAGAGCAACCATCAGAAGCACCAGTATGGAAGCCACTAAGGTGCTTCAACCATATGAACTAGGTTTTGGTGTTCCCCATGGCAGTGAAGCAGTAGTTCAAAGCCTAATATAAATCTCCTCCCTGAACATAAAGCAGTAATTAATCACCATTTAAAAAATGTTTTTAACCTGGTGAAAAAAAAATGTTTTTTGGAAACATTTTGAATAAGCTTTGTTTGAGGAGGATACAATAAGGAAATGACACTGTTGTTTGGAAAGCTTGAAATAGTTTATTCAAGTGTCCAGCAAGGGGGCCCATTTACCCCTTTCCTGTTCTGCATGGCTGCTTCATAGGTCACAAGTAGGTTTCATAGGCCCGCAAATTCAGCATCTAGTTCCTGGATAATGCACCCTGGCAGGGGAGCAGGAGTATTTAGTAGTAGATCTACAGCTGATGACATCTGAGAGAGGAGTTAGGACTTGCCCTAAATCCTTCAAAGTGTGAAATCATCTCATCTACCAAACCAGTCTTAGATGCAGTAAGGACAATTTTACTGAGGAAAGATCACCGAGGACAGCCTCAGTGATTGCCCCCACCAACAGCGTGCTCCTATGAGCGCCTTTGTGCTCAAATGCCATTGATGTAATCCTCAAAGAAAAGCTGGACAACCTGGAGGAGGACGAAAGAATGTGTGTTTCGGACGCACAAGACGTCATTGCATCCAAAGGACAAGATGTTTACAGCAAGTTGCTGTAAAGTGAATAAGTGGTATATGTATATGTAAGGCAGCACAGATACCCTGCATTCTTATCCTCTACTAGTGCTGCAAGCGAATTAGTGAGAGAACTTAATGCACTGAAGAGACTCCATTGGGATTCATAAACCCAAATTCACTAAAGGAATTGGCCAGTGAGACAGTTGCTGGCTCTTAGACCCTACCAACTTTTCCAAATTCCTGCAAAGAGACCAAATGGGATAACCATTGCCTCAGCAGTACTGGAGGCAGTTGCTGGGAAGCACAACTTTTTATGATGTAGGCTTCCTGTAGGCTGTTCCTAGTTCTACCTAGGGGACCTGCTTGGACTATCGGGCACTTGGTATTCATGTTGCCCTGTTTCCTTACCAACCCTCTCTCCACTGAACACTGGTATATCGGTGGTTTTGCGTCAGTAAACTGGTACGGCAGCCATGTTCTCATCTGTTTTAAGTTAGAGGGAAGATTGCTAGACATGAAGCAAGTAATGACATTGTGCCAAACTTCTCTTCACGAAGTGTTTGGCACAAAGGGAACCAAAGATGTGCAGACCGGACAACAGTCACAAATTCCCAGACGGAGTTACCCTGCAATCGTGGAGGGATCATTAACGTGTGGAATTATGCATGTGCATCTACATCAGCTGATGCTTATACACAGTACAGTATAGCTGAAGGTGGTGGAGCCATCACCCTCAGGAAGCCCAGAAAACTAATAAGTACAGTACAGAGGTCTAGAACAATCTTGGGTATGAACTCCACACCTCTGCAGAGCTGGATGAGGTTTACAGTGATTGCTGTGTGTGTGTTCTGTAAGCTGTGACAGTGTAATAAGAAACTTACTTCAATGCCATAGTCCTTGAATGAAGGTAAAGAAAAAAAACAAAACAAGTGTAAGTGCATTAAAACAACAATTTTTGATGCAATCTACATCCTTTATCAAGTTGCTGTAAACACCTTCATAAAGGATGTAGGTTGGAAGTAAATAAATAAATTACATTTTATAAAATAATAAAGCGAGTGGTAGAGGAAAATGCATGAAAAGTGTTTAGGGAGAATCTGCAAGGTTTTCCTGAATACATTTTAGTCTCTTCAAGGCTATGGGTACCTACAATTGCACCAATTGTGGTATCCATATTTTTATAATTATTATATTTATATATATATATATATATATATATATATATATATATATATATATATATATATATATATATATATATATATAATAATAATAATAATAATATGTCGTACCTAGTAGCCAGAACGCACATCTCGGCCTACTATGCAAGGCCCGATTTGCCTAATAAGCCAAGTTTTCATGAATTAATTATTTTTCGACTACCTAACCTAACCTATAAAGATAGGATAGGTAGGGTTGGTTAGGTTCGGTCATATATCTATGTTAATTTTAACTCCAATAAAAAAAATTGACCTCATACGTAATGAAATGGGTAGCTTTATCATTTCATAAGAAAAAAATGAGAAAATATATTAATTCAGGAAAACTTGGCTTATTAGGCAAATCGGGCCTTGCATAGTAGGCCGAGTACGACATTCTGGCTACTAGGTACAACATATATATATATTATAAAATAGTAGATATGTTATTCATATATTCATTCAGTTCTATTCTGCCTTTGAAAGTGTTGATAGAATCAGCAAATTAAATCTGGCCATAATAAAACTAAAATGAACTTTTGGAGGGTTAATTTTTAAACTTCCTCAACCCTTAAATTAAATGGCACAAATTATATATATATGATCTCGGTTCCACTAAAGTAATTGATTATAACGAGCATTAGGGCAGCTCATTTCCCTAATGAGCTAAGCAATGGCTATGGACAAAGTTCTAAAATAATGATCTGTTCCTTGTCTGTCTTCTTCCTGTTCCTAATTTTTTTTTTCTTTTTTTCTAAGTAAGTGCAATTCAGGCGACATGGTTGTTCATATAAAAATGAACTGTTGCAGGCATCAAAGTTCACAATATGTAGTTTACATTTCGTAGAAGCACGAAAAATAACTACTTTTATAGGCCTAGTATAGCACGTGTACATAATTAAGCCTAAGATAGTATATAAAGGTCTGATTGATAGTATGACCATTATGCATGTCTGCCCCCTCACACCCTACCTACACACCAACAGTTAAGCTCATGAGGTTTGTATGGTTCTAGCCTCTTCGTTTGCTCCTTCAAGGTAAACATTTTTAATAATGCATACACTCACACACGCACGTACACACAAACTCTTTGGCAGGTGAACTGCCAAAGATTTGGAAGACGGCTAATGTAGTCCCAATATACAAGAAGAGGGGATAGACTGGAGGCACTGAACTGCAGGCCAGTGTCCCTAACTTGCATACCATGCAAGTTGATGGAGAAGATTGTGCAAAAAATAGCTAGTGGAACATCTGGAGCAAAAGAACTTTGTAACGGCATCAGCATGGGTTCAGGGATGGCAAGTCCTGCCTCACAGGATTAATTGAATTCTATGACCAGGCAAGAGAGAGAGGGGTGGGCAGACTGCATTTTTTTGGATTGCCAGAAAGCCTTTGACAGTACCACATAAGAGACTAGTGCACAAACTGGAGATGCAGGCAGGAGTGAAAGGGGCGGTACTCCACTGGATAAGGGGAGTACCTAAGCAACAGAACAGTGACGCTTCACCACTGATTCCAGAGGCACGTGAAGTTCCTCTTCACTGCCTGAAATCAACAACAAACCATGGAGTTCTGATCTAACACAAAGTTCAGCACACTTCTCCAGCCTCGAAGGTCTTCCATTAACTTCCCTAACCTTGAAGTTTCTCCCCGAACTCCTTCCCAAACAAACCTTCAATTCCATTACCATGTCAAAAATGTTTCTCAAAACAGAACAAAGAATAAACTATATCCCAGTATTAAATTTCGCCCTCTGACGCCGCATCGCGTCGTCCGACTGTAGTGGGTATTCCCCCAAACTGGACGGGTCCAAGAGGGGCATGTCTTGACACGCCCCCCGGGAGCTTCCTCTCAGGCCTCGCTGCTGGGGCCTCCACCCCCTCAGTTGCCTCTTTACCACCATCGAGAGATGTACCACTCCTCTCTCTTCAGCATGTCCTATCTCTACTCTTATTTTAGCTCACTAGCTCAATAAAATTATATGTACTAATATTATATATATATATATATATATATATATATATATATATATATATATATATATATATAAATTCTTCGCGGCAGGGAATCGTATTCCAGGGACCTGCCCGAAACGCTACGCGTACTAGTGGCTGTACAAGAATGTAACAACTCATATATATATATATATATATATATATATATATATATATATATATATATATATATATATATGTCGTACCTAGTAGCCAGAACTCACTTCTCAGCCTACTATGCGAGGCCCGATTTGCCTAATAAGCCAAGTTTTACTGAATTAATATATTTTCTCTAATTTTTTCTTATGAAATGATAAAGCTACCCATTTCATTATGTATGAGGTCAATTTTTTTTATTGGAGTTAAAAATAACGTAGATATATGACCGAACCTAACCAACCTACCTAATCTAACCTAACCTATCTTTATAGGTTAGGTTAGGTTAGGTAGCCGAAAACGTTAGGTTAGGTTAGGTTAGGTTAGGTAGGTTAGGTTGTCGAAAAAACATTAATTCGTGAAAACTAGGCTTATTAGGCAAATCGGGCCTTGCATAGTAGGCTGAGAAGTGAGTTCTGGCTACTAGGTACGACATATATATATATATATATATATATATATATATATATATATATATATATATATATATATATATAATTATACAGTAATTATAATCTTGTACAGCCACTAGTACGCGTAGCGTTTCGGGCAGGTCCCTGGAATACGATTCCCTGCCGCGAAGAATTGTTGCAACTTGCAACCAAGTACACATTTTACTGTTGAGTTAGAGGCTACAGTTAAGGATTTGTGCCTAGTAAATCCTCTCCGGCCAGGATACGAACCCATGACAGCGCTCGCGGTTTATATACATAAACACTCGCCATGATCGCTGGGCACACGATCAAGCACTAATAGCTACTCTTAACTGATTAATGAGCTTACCGCAGATTTTGAAGCTCGGGGACGCTCAGCTCCTGCGCTCCCCAAAATGGCGTCCTCTCTAAGACGTCTAGCAAAGTTTCTTAATGTCTGCCTCACAGCTCTTTCGCCCCTAACTTGAGCTCACACAGTCTGGAAGGCTCCACTCCAAGACACCTGCTAATAATCTTCCTCCACCAGAGGAAATCACGATTTAGAGCTCCTCCCAGGTACGATCACCTATGTGCTTTAATATACTGTACCTATAATTTTCTCTCATCTTTTTTTTTTCATTCCATGTAATCTGTTATCATTTTTTTGTCTATAAATTTTGCAAGTATTTACCTCCTTAAAATTTTCTTAGATTAA